ACCATTGATTGAGCATCATCGGTCTGACCATGAACGATATAACCGAGAGATGTTTTTCCAATTATTAAAGAACCGAAATTCTTATCCATTGCAAGAACTTTAAGACGATTGATGTCGCTGTTGCCAAATAGTATATCTGTTGGAATATTTTCGTCGTTAAAGTCGATATTGAATACTTTATTAACGTAGCTTTGAATCATTGTCGGTAATACGTTGAATTTAAAATGACATACTGTATCATCAATGATTAATTTAAATTCTGTGATATTACCATCACGATCAGGTAATTTTATAATTGTGAAATGATGACCAATAAGACGTCCAGGATTGCCACCATACCCGTTAATTCGAATGGGTACAGTTTTGAATTTTGGTAAATTTAATAATTTCACCAACTTGTTAGAGATAAATGATAATTCAGATCCACCATCGAAAATTACGCGGGTTTTGATGTTGTTGATTTTTGTTGTCAACGTTTGTAAATATTGAGATGAACCACCGGTTTTTGCTAAAGCTGTATTAACCGATTGATTTTCAATATTTGTTTCTGTTGATGGATTCGATGACGTTGCTGATTGTGAAGTACCAAGCGAAGATGATGACGATGCGATAGCGACAGAAGCTGATGATGAATCGACTGATGATGATGATGTACTTGCTGTAGTATTTTGACCAGAACGACAAAGGAAAGTAACATGATTTCCTTTACATTTGAAACATGTATAATTCTTCATACATTCTCGGGTTCCGTGACCCTTACCGGCACATTTGAAACACCTCTTTTCTTTTCTCAATACTTCATATTTATCATTGACCGACGTTGGACACATACTATGACGATGACTTTGATGACAAAAAATACATGTTAATTTGGTTTCAAAAGACGATGAAGTGACAAGAGCTTTACGTGTCTCAACTGGACGATTGATTTTATTGATGGCGCTATTTGTGGCCACTTGGTTGATTAACATATCAGTAGTGGTAATCTTACGAAAGTACTCTTCAACGTTAGCCAGTGTCAAATATTCTTGATCGTTTGAATTATCAGCTTGCTGAAAAGCCCGCCGTCTATGCTCGACATCCATTTTATGTAACACATGACTGAGGATAGTACGGGCATCGCCCTCATTAAGTTTCACCGATCGGACATTCAGCAATAAATCATAGTATTTGGTATATATGGTCGGACTAGCATCCAAGCGAAGAAAAGGCAATGAAAAGATTTTACTTGTTAACTCCTTGATGATGATTGCAGGTGAACCATAAAACTTTTCCAGTATGCTGAATATAGTCGAGAAATTCGGATTTTCTCGTTGATCCCTTATTCGTGATTGTGCTTCTAACGGTAATGCATTGAAAAGACGTCGAAATTTAGATCTTGCCGTTGGGATCAAAGTATTGTTAACAATTAATTCAAGGGCAGCATCCTTGAATTCCGGCCATTGAATTGCTGAACCATTAAACTTTGGCATATCTTCAGCTTTAATTTTCATTGGCTGACCGTGATTCAAAACGTTGTTGATTGGTGGATATTGATTTGTCGTTACTGGCATTACTTGAGGTAGTGGTTGAACGTTATGTGAAATACCTTCTGACGGTATAGCTTGTGATGGTATATTCGAACCCACATTAACAGGACCTAAATTGTTCATCGGTGTTGATGTGCGAAAAGATTCGTTACTTTCTTCATGAATATTGAACGATGGTGATTGAATTTCCGATGATTCAAGTTTCGACTGAATATTAAGAATAACAGTTGACATTCCAGGGAAGATATCGATCATTTTGTTCAGTTCGTTGAACAAAGTTTGACAATGCTTAATTGTTGTATAAGGCAAAGAATTAGAAGACAATTTAGTATCAATATTTACATAAAGAGTCATAAATCTGAACATCGATTCAATTTTGTCAGAATAATCGGCGTTGTCAACATGATTATGATCCAAAAGCTCTACCACGATGTCATCGTGATCAGATTTCAACGAAAGCACTTTATCAATTTCGGGTAGAACACCAGTATTCATTTGATTGAACATTTTTGTAATTGCACTACGACAAATTCTTCGTTGTTTCAAAAGATCATCAACAGATAATTCTTCATCCATGATGTACGATATATATTCAAAACGATGAGGCAATGATAGACCAAACGTAAGTGTTATTCAACGGATAAACTGATCGAGGTATATTGACCTTGCGTTCGACGAAAAAATAACTGAACGAAGTATATTGACTTTGCGTTCGATGAAAAATAGCTGAACGAAGTATATTGACTTTGCGTTCGATGAAAAATAGCTGAACGAGGTATGTTGAACCTTGCGATCGACGTAAAGATGAAATAACACAAAATTGGATTTCTAATCAAATTGTATAAAAATTAATAATGATTTTATTGACAAAAATTGGATTGAAACATAGATTACAAAGAATGAATAATAAAAAACATTGTATGAATCATTTGACTGAAACAAAACACTGTGATCAAAATCTTAATGAAATATATGATAATTGTTAAGCGTGTTGTGGCTCGCTTTTATATGTTTTCCTAAAAACCGTTGAAAAAATCGTTCGATTATGGGCGGTCTTTATTATATCGCGTGTTTTATTCGTGTTTTGACAGTTGAAGATCTTTATCGCGAAAACGGTTGACATTTCTTCGCGCGTTTCTGTTTCACATTTCGCACCAATTTCTCCCCCCTTCGAGTGGGTATATATCTCGATTGTTTCTTGTCATGATATCATCGCCAACCTGGACACGATAAGTGCGAATTATTCCATTAGTATCCGGTATTGTTTCAACAATTTTTCCTGTTGGCCATTTTTCTTTTCCATAGCGACTATCTTTTATCAATACATAATCGCCGACTTTGGAATGTTCATACTTTGTTGAAAATTTATGAAAATTACGTAGTTGTTTAAGATACAAATCTAACCAGACTTTCCAGGCAGAATTTATATCACGTTGTTTACTTCTCCATTCGGTCAAGAGGTCCATTTTCGTGTCAGATTTGTACGGTGGTTGTGGTGGTCTTCTTATTTCTGCTCCATAAATTAGTTTATTAGGCGTTAGAATCGTATTGTCGATCGATGCTATCGGTCTCGAATTGATGATAGCTGCCAATTCATATAATATTGTACGGAAATTTTCCGCAGTTAAATCTTTTCGCCATACAATTCCGTACAACGCACGTTTTGTAGATTTAATTAATGCTTCCCATGCACCACCACGATGAGGACTATAAGGCGTTGTAAAGTGCCATTCGATTTTGATCTGATTCAAACAACTGTTTAATAGTTTGCCTAGCTTTTTAAAATTTGATCCGTTATCTGAATATATTACAGATGGACATCCACGAATGGCGGCGAAATTTCGTAACGCTTTTAATACTTCGGATGATGAACAATCATCTACCGGTTCAAGGTGTATGGCTCTGGATGCGAA